TTTTTAACAAAATCAGACTCAATATTTACTTAAAAAGGAAAAAGAGAGGCTAGCTGTGCTGGTTAATCTCTCACTGGCTTCCTTGTGGGTCAGTGAAAAAATATAGAACACATCATGAATTTGCATGTCATCCTTGCACAGGGGCCATGCTGATCTCTGTGTCGTTCCAATTTTAGTGTGTGTGTGGCTGAAGCGAGCACGAGTTACACCTAGCTTTGACAGAAGCTAAGAAATACAGTTTTAGTCTGAGAAGTAATATGTCCTCCCCAAAACTAGTATTCTGGACCTAAGAACAGAGGGAAGAATAGATGTTCTAATGGACAACTAATAGCCTGCCACAGTCAACTAACTGCCCAGTTTTGGCCTCCCTGCCTCCATCAAGCTCAGAGAGCCCCAAGAGCAGGACTCTGGGCTACTTACCACACAGCACAGCAACAGTGGAGGGAATGAGTCCAGACAAAGCCAAGAAGGGGTTGCGTGCAGGGGCTCAGTGTTTTTTTCTAATACTCAATAATTATGTTAAGTCATTTCTCCTATGGAGAAGAATATGTACAGGTGGCAAAAGGGACCAGAATATTTCTGGTATACTTTTCCCTTCTTGGGAGTAGAGCAGAAACCCACTGATGGATTTGAGGATGGGGCGCGTGTTTACCGTGACTGCACCTTTATCAGCTCCCTCTTCTGCTTACCCAACACTGTCTCGCTCCAACACTTCTACCTATTAAGTGACTTTCCTTCTAGTTCCAAGCTTCTATGTCATCTTTCCTTCAGCACCCATCATGAACGATGTTCCAACCCCAAACAGGTCTCTTCTTCCATATCAATACATTCAGACTAAAGGATAGCAATTTCACATGTTTCTAGAACTCTCACCTTCTATGCCTGTTTCTCCTCCTCTTTCTCCCACACAGATACCAAACTGTGCAGTTTTTGATGACAGGAACCTAATTTTATTTATCTTTGCATTTTCCTCATACATTATCTGATACTTAACGAGGTACTCAAATGTTTACTGCATTAATAACACTGTGACTTAACTCCTCTCCTAAACTCCCTACTTTATAGATAAGGAAACAGATCTTGAGAGATTGAATGGCTTAGTAAATAACAACAATGGACATCTATGATCATTAAGACCTCAATGTATTATAGGCATTTTCATAAGTGCTTACCTATATTCTTCTTAATTCTCTTATCAACTTGGTGACAGAGTTGGGATTTGACCCTAAATATTTTCTTCCTTTAATCACTGGGTCAGCATACTGTGGATTAGAGAAAAGCTGGGTCCACACCCAGATCTTCTGACTTTAAGCCTCACCCAAAGAGATTTGATTCTTATCCTTTTTTCATTGTCTGCTTTGCTGTAATGCAATAATCTTTTTTTTTCTGTTCTTTTTTTTTAATTGAAACATAATCGGTTATACATATTTATGGAATAAAGTTTAATATTAATACCTGTGTACAATATGTGCTGATCAAAGCAAGATAATTAGTATATTCATTATCACACAATGTAATCATTCTTTGTGACCCTTTCCCAATTTCTCGCTAGCCTCACCACCAGCCCCTCTCCCTTTCCCACATCTGATAACCTCAGTTCTGTTCTCTCCTTTTGAAAGTTCAACAACTTATTGTGATTGTTGTATCTTTCTTCCTTTTTTTCTTTATTTGTTTACTTTTTAGCTCCCACTTATGAGTGAGGATGTGGTGGTTCTCTTTCTGCGCCCACCTTATTTCACTTAACATAATTTTCTCCAAGTTCATCCATGTTGCTATGATTGGCAGAATTCATTTTTTTTTTTATGGCAGAGTAGTATTCCATTGTGTATATATACCACATTTTCCTTATCCAGTCATCCATCAATGGACATTTAGGTTGGTTCCAATTCTTGGCTATTGTAAATAGAGCTGCGATAAACATGGGAGTGCATTCCCATTCCTTTGGGTATATACCCAGCAGCAGGATTGCTGGATCATATGGTAGTCCTACCTATAGTTGTTTAAGGAACCTCCACACTGTTTTCCATAGTGGCTGCACTAATTTAAAGTCCCACCAACAGTGGTTCCCCTTTCTCTGCATCCTCACCAGCATTTGTTATTCTCTGTCTTTTTTGTAGTAGCCAGTCTAACTGGGTTGAGATGATATCTCAGTGTGGTTTTGATTTGCATTTCCTTGACGTTTAGTGATGTTGAGCACTTTTTCATATTTCTGTTGGCCATTTGTATATCTTCCTTTGTGAAATGTCTGTTCACCTCCTTTGCTCATTTTTAAATTAGGTTACTTGTTTTTTATTGTTAAATTGTTGAGTTCGTTGTATATTCTGGATATTAATCCCTTGTCAGATGCATAGTTTGCAAATATTTTCTCCCATTCTGCAGGCTGTCTCTTCACTCTGTTGATTGTTTCCTTTGCTGTGCAGAAGCTTTTTAGTTTGATATATTCCCATTTGTTTATTTTTTTATTTTTACTGCCTGTGCTTTTGGGGTCTTTCTCATAAAGTCTTTGCCCAGTCCTATTTCCTGAAGTGTTTCCCGTATGTTTTCTTTTAGGAGTTTTATGGTTTTATATTTAAGTCTTTAATACATTTTGAGTTGATTTTGGTATCTGGTGACAGGTATGGGTCTAATTTCATCCTTCTAGATATGGATGTCCAGTTTTCCCAGCACCATGTATTAAAGAGGCAGTCTTTTCCCCAATGTATGTTCTCAGTGCTATAATCATTTAATAGTGCTTATTGAGACAAGGCATTTTTGCATGTTTTTTGTTTGTTTGTTTGTTCACTTGGCGGCTGGCTGGTACAGGGATCAAACCCCAGACCCTGATGTTATCAGCACCACTCTCTAACCAACTGAGCTAACCAGACGGTCCAAGGCATCCTTGTTATAGATACACAACACATGCCTTCCAAGGTTGGCATTTCCCTAGTAAGGGTGCTTCACATCTGCTCAAGCCCATCCCTGTGCTCTTGCCTAAGTGGCAAAGAACTACCCACAAACAACAATTCGAAAGAAAATCAGAAGGTTAATCTGCCCAGTCTAAAACATGTTGGAATTTCCCCAGGGAACCAGGGAATATGCGTTATTACTTATCAGAAAAAGACACCCCAGGAGGACACCACCAATTAGCATTTGGCTCTTAGAAAGTTTAAAGCCACTTAAGGAAAGTGAGGTACAGGCTTTCCCTAACCCATTTTGTATCACGAGAAGTGAGACATCATGTATTTGGGGTTGATTTGTTTGGTTTGGAAGGAAAAAATGGCCAGCCCATCAGAGGAAGCCAGGGTGAAATTCAGTGTTACCCAGTCACTCCCCTTCAAAAAAAGATTTATGTGTGTTTCCTTAATTCAACATTTTTGACAGAAAACTGCACATTCATCACATAAGACTTCTTCCCAAATGGCTAGCCACACTTCTGCAGTTATCTAAGAAAAAAAAAAAAAATAGAGAATGAGATATTGGACTGTAAATATTTCCTCTGCCCCAAGGACTTCTAATCCTTGCTGTCCTAAAACAGAAGGTTTACGGAGTATTTCCATTATGTGACACTAGGTATTGCCCTGGGTTCTTGAGACCAAATCCTTTTGATCAGACAGCATTATCCTTTGGACATCCTGTTTTCCCTGGGGTCTAACTAGTAGCAAGGATGGCATGATAGGATCCAATGGAAGTGGAGGGAAAGTGAATGGGGAAGAGGAAGGAGAGAGGTCATGGAGAAAGAATATGTGATCAGGCCATTTAATTGTATGTGTAAATGGGGGTCTAGGCCTGTTTGCTATATAAAGTGATTTAAACACAGTGGGGAGTATGTTTTATATTGCAACCCAGTGCACGTGTGTAAACACACACACACACACAAAAAAAAAAAAAACACACACACACAAGTCACAGCCTGAAGCAGTATGTGATGATGACAGCAAGGTGATGAGTCAGACATCCCCTGTTCTTCCACTTGAACCCCCAAAAGAAGTTTTAAAAACTGCATACACCATCACACACTTCAAGTTGTCTAATTTTTTTTCTCCCCAAATTTAAATACTTGAAAAGACTATAATTTCCAGTTGGTTATAAATATGCTTTAAATATATCTGTCAAAATTTGGAGCCACAGCTCTAGCTCACAATTGTGGAAAATGTTTGTTTTATAACCCAAGTGCCAAAGCCATGCCTCACTGTCTCACCCGTCAAGCTAATCAGATTTAAATCCCTGTCAGAAAAAAGTCAGTCTTCATTTTGCAATTCAAATAAACATAATAGCACGCCAACCTACTAACCCTGACATGCATCATGCTTCTGAATTCTAGTTCTAAGAGACAGAGAGAGAGGTAGATGAGAGGAAGGGGGAAAGCCTTGCCTTGAGTTTGTGCCTGGTTGAAATAAGGTCCTGCTCCCGAGAGACGTACTCATAGGAGCAAGGCTTTCTCAAATTATCCCTTGATTTGGTGCCTGGGAGTTTTATATCCCAAGGCCGTCCACCTTCAGAGGTTTGACATGGATGAGAAATGGTCTTTCCTCTGTAAAGTGGCAGAACAATTGTGAAAGGGGAGGTGAGAGAGAGGCAGACCTCACACTCCAGGAACTTTCTCAGCTAGGTCAGCATAGGGAAGAAGTATATATGGAACTCAGCCTCTGAAAATTATGGCTTGAGAAAAAGAAAAAAACGAAAAGAGAAAAGAAAAAAAAATGAGAATTATGGCTTGAACCCCAAGGAAAGTTTGCAAGTGGTCTTAGGTGCTTGAAACCCCTGTTCTAAGCTTTTAGTATCTGCATGTGTAAAACACAAATAATTGGAGTACCTACCTTCAGAGATGGTTATGAAGAATAAATACGGCGATACTAATAAAGTACTTTGTGAAGTCCTGAGTGCATGATAAGCACACAATGTGTGTTCCCTATTGTCATTGTTGTTGCAGTTCTTGTTGGACCCCTCTACTGGGTAACAATGTCATTTCTCAGTGGAATGGGAATCCTCACGCCCACCCTAACACCTCGATTATGTTTTAGGCACTGGTTTTCAGGCCTCAGGATACAATTTCAACACCTATGACTGGAGGAGCTCAAAACAGAGAGGCAGCTTGTCCCCGGTCACTAAGCCTCGAAGCCAGACTTACCCAGATGTTGGGCTGAGTAATGAAGACTGGGAGCGGTCCACAGCCAGTGGGTAAGGTTTTCATTCAATGTAGCCCTGTCCAACATGACTGTGTGGTCATTTGGGTGAGATTTGAACTTGTCTATTTCCAGGGGCACATAGTGTTAGCATTGGCTTCTTGAAGCCACCATAATCATCCATGTTGGCCATGTGGCCAGATTCTAAAACCTGTGTCTGACCAGTGGTAACCTGGACGCCACCCCACAACAGGGCAAGAGCAAGGTTTCCCCTAATGACAAAAATAGTAGCACTTGGAGAAAATTTGCTTCTGTAATCCATGTTCTCACTCTGCAACAACTAGCTCCCTCTCCTTCCTTTTAAAAGTCAGTTGCACATTGTTGTATTTTTTTTTTTTTAAGATACACCTAGGAGCCCATATTTTTAGCAAAGAAATCTATTTTAGCATTTTGGTCTTTACCAAAATATTTCAAGGAAATTTATAAAAACTGATAGCATTTAATTATTTATAATGATCTTTATAATTAGTGGGGAAAACACATTTTTATCTCTTAAAGAAAAATTTGATTTCTCTGTCCCTGCGGAGATAGAAGCTGACATTTGTTCCTATGTTCCAGTCCATTCCAATAGGGCCACGTTGATGCAGCTTATTCAGCAGTAGCCATGAATAGTCTGAAAATCAGTTAGTAAGACCACAGACCAGCCTTTCCCATTTCACGACCCTTTGCATTTCCTAAAGCATCCTTAAGTTGGGGCTGACTTGACTTGGAGGCCACAGTTAGAAGAAAGCCAGATCCAAAGTGAATCTCTATCTTTTGTGTGAGATGAAGGAGAGAGATTCTGGTTACAGAAAAAAAATATATGTTTGGCAAGTTCTTAACTCAGACTAAGTCTTGGCGACAGCTTTGCAGGGGCTCCTGACAATGTGGAAGCCGAGCAGGAGGAGAACTTCTGGTCTCAAGCGCTGGAAGATTTAGAAACCTGCGGACAATCAGGAATTCTGAGAGAACTTGAGGTAGCCTCGCTCCTGCTGCTTATTTTTGTTGTTTCTACATTCATTTTTTTTTCTTTTTCTTTTTTTTTTTTTTTTTGGTCCTTTTAAGTTTGCATTTATCACACCAGGTCATTTAAAAGCTTTAACCCCTTTCCACAGGAGAAAGCTGACAGGCGTGTGCCTTTGAGAAACATGACTCTCTTGGTAGCTACCCTTTATGTTTATATTTTTGCTTGTGAAGTTGCCTTCCCTGCCCCCTTGCCTTCTGGACAGCAATTTGATTTTATTCAATGCAGTTGAAAATATTTCTTTCCCTGTTTCCACCCCCTGAGCTTACTGACTTGTGGCTTCTGCCATCGCTCCCTGCTAACCCTGACTGTACCTCTTCCCCACCGAATCGCTAAGGAGCCAGCTAAGTCTCCCAGCAGTGGTGCATCCCATTCTCTTAGTTGCTTTAGAAAGGTTTCTTTGGCATGTTTTCATTTGTACCTGGCCTAGAAATTAATTTGATCGTTAACAGGAACATAAGAGGAAATTTCATTTTATTTTGTTTTGCCCTTAAAGTAGATGACAATGCAGCTGGTAAAAAAGGCCAGTCTATTTGATAAGCAGCCAAAATATGAGATAGTCCTTTGCTGTTAATTGCAAATCCTGATTACATATTAACTTTGTGTGAATTTGAGGAGAAGCGAGATGGAATGTAATAGCTGAACTCCTGGTGAGTTCTTTAATCAAAGCTATAAAGTTGCTGATGGTATTCACACTTTAGTCTGGGAAGTCCTGGGCTGTTTCCTTTTATGTTCTTTTAAATTTTCTGAGCTGTAAAAAATAAAGTGGCAAAAGTCTCATTTTTATTTTGATATCGTATGAGGTCCCAAGTCACCATAAGGAATGTGAATGGCATAACTGGGTGAAACTCTTGCAATTCTAAAATGATTACTCATCTTTATGTTATTTTGCTTCTCGATTGCATGTGTGGATATTTTATGTGATTCTAATGTTTGTGAACTTGCAAAGAGAATTGTAAAGAAAAAATATTAGTTTGAATTTGTAAACTTTGTGGTATTACCTGGCATGAATTTCAGCTTCAGAGCACAGTTAAAGGACCTGGACGTGGATAATCCTATAAGATTTAAATGAATTAAGATGTCAGCCATTGATTCCTTTTTATACAACTTTCAAAAAGAGCAGAATGCTTAAGTATCAGATGGCTTATTTAAACTTTTACCATCTCCTGTATCTACAGTGATCAGTGAAGGCAGCCCAAATTGAATAATGAGCACAATTTACAATTCTTAAACATACCCCTGCTTTTGAAAGCATGTTTTGGCTCATATGCCTTTTCCATCATGCATTTTGATATTTCTCTTTTGAAGAAAAAGCTGTTCTACTAATAGCTTCTTTTTACATCAGGTAAAAATAAGGTAATGTAAAAGGTAATACGATGAGGTTATCTTTTCACCCAGAAATTGAGTTATCTCATGAAAACAACATCCATCAGCATAAAGGTTATATTGCAACAGCCTATGAATTTGCTCTAACGTAGCTCTAGGCAGGTCTGGCCCTTGAAATAACAAATTCAGAAAGGAAATAGGTTGAATTCATAAGCCAAAGAGAAATTAAAATTCTCAACTAGGAGAATGATTGACCAATTAATAAATTACAGTCATATTTAAACTGTTATCACAAAAAATATAAGTATTCACTTATTAGCTTAAATGAACCCTATCCCCTTGATTAGAAATGTTATGCAAAAAAAATATTGTTGGTGCTAGATTGCGACATAGTAAATTTACATCTAATATTGAAAGTTAAAGCACACTCTAACTAATAAATGTAGATTTCCTAAGATGAAAAATGATTTCAATTGAAATGAAAATGAAAATTAATTCACTAATCATTTTCCCTATTGCAAGCAATAATTTAGTTCAGCATTGGCGCTGAAAAATTTATAGCTTTAACAAAGGAAAAAAATTTAATTAAGACTTTGGCAAGTGTTTAACTTCTCTTACCAGATATTTCTTCTATAAAATATGGGGATTATAATGAGCTAATGCTTATATGGCACATAACAAAGAATATGGCACTCAAATATTTGATTTTAATAAAACTATTACTATTTTGCCATTTCTTGGTTAATGAACATTCCCTTATCTATTTTTTGTTTGCTATAATATAGGAAGAAGGTTAAACTAAGTGTCAGATAGAGAACTCTAAGTTGCCTTAAAAAGAACATATAATTATGAAATGTGGCAAATGAATACTTTTGAAGCCAAAGCAAATCCTAGGTAATTTTAAATAATTATCTTTTAACTTTTTATTTTAGTTTTTATATTTGTGTTTTAATTTTTATATTTCTGCTTAGATGCTACTAATTCACTTGAAGTTCACTTTAAACAAAGTAATCAAACCATATTTTGAAAACTTGAACTAAAGAACTATCGATAATGTCTCCTTTCTTCTATCAGAACCTTTTCTAAAACAATTTGTCTCTTGTTCTATGGCAGCCTAGACTCATCAAAGCAGAACTGTTGTCTTCTAGATGGAATGATTAAGCATTTCACTTACATGTTTCTTTCTGGTCCCATGAAAAATGAATATAAAAAATAGATGTTAACAAAGCAAATAACTAGTCTAAGTAGGTAAAAATAATAGGTGGATGGTCACCACAGCAAGAAAACAATTATTGGATGGTGTCAGTTACAGCAGATTAAACACAGAAATGATATATTATAAGTGCCATAAAATAAAGGATGTCCCATGACAACAACAAAGCTAATAATGGAAAGGTTTCAATAAACTTAAGAGTATTTATCTGAAATAAATCATAATATGGATAAACCACACGAGTTTAAATATTAGGGGTCTTTTTACCCACTAAAAAGTAAATTGTGTGTGGTTCGACCTTACACTTGACTGAGAAACAATGCTGCCACGTATTGAAGACCACAGGTTCTGGAGTTAAATCGCTAGGGTCCTAAGCACTGACTCTTGCGTAAGTTGCTTAACTTATCCAGGCATCCCTTTCCTTAACTGAAATGGGGAAGTATAATAATTATAATATCTACCATATAGGGTTACTTAAGTATTAAATGAAAATCTATGTACAATACATATGGGACTTAGCGTGCATTAATGCTCAATGATCAGCAAGTATTCTTTTTTTGCAGTTATAATTTTCTTTTCCAAAATTATCAGTGAGGGACAAAAAAAATTATCAGTAAGATAACTGATAAGTAAGATAACTGGTACTTGATCTGTTTTGTTTTTCCAGCAGTCATTAGATATATGTACCTGTGTGCCGACACTTGGCTGTTATCCAGCTCTTGTTAGTAGTGTGTATATAGCTGAACACTAGGAGAATTTTAGAATTATGGAGTCTTATAGAGATGACAAATTAAAGCTCTACTCACTTTGCAGTGTTCTTTCCTGATCAATAGTTTTATAAAGTGTCCTCTGCTCATTTATTATATGTGTGACTTTGTGTAGGTCAGCCTCTTTGTGCCTCAGTCTCCCCACCTGTAAATTAGGAGAGAGAACAGTGCCTACCTCATAGAGTTGTTGTGAGGATTAAAGCAGTGAATAAATTCAAAGGATTCAACAAATGAACCTTCTGTTGCTTTTAGCATCGGTATTAATATAAACAACTAGGCCATACTGTAGCCAGTCACACGGCATATGGAACTTGTTTTCTGTTCCTGTGGTTTCAGACAGACTTACTGATGCCAGTTTATCTTCATATAACCATCATGTCTATGACTACAGAGCTGGCTACAGGCATATGTTCTGAATTTTATCATCCTCCAACTATAAGAAATGAACATCCCCTAACTGTCACTGGTTTCAAATCGTTGTCCCTATTATGAGACTCAGTGATCTTTGGGATCTAATCTTGCCATTGCTTGTGTATTATGCAAGGAACATACTTGTACTTGAAACTGAACAAAGTTGCCAATTCACTGGTGAAATCCAACGCAAATCTCACAGCTTTTGAGCTAAGAATTGAATCTAGTAACATAAAAAATGATCATTTTCTAACCTCTCTGAGGATCTTACACTAAGAATATTTTGAAGAAACACTGATGTATACCAAATGATGTGGAGGCCTACCTGGTCTGCAAGCTTCTGGGGCAGGCCAGTTGGCCAAAGGAAGGACAGTACGCAGTGCCTGGCAGGAAGCTTGGAGAGAAGCCCTTGCCTTCGTATCAGTAATCCCATTTCAGTCAATTGTTAGCTCCCCTTGAGCTAGAGGCAGTGCGGCAAGTAGAGGCAGGTTGGTGCCCATGGAGAAGTTCTTAGTTCATTTCTATTGGATATACTGAAGGTGGCCTCATGAATTTCATCTGTTAGAATCCACTCAGTGGAAAGTTAATGCTTAAAATGTAGTTTGCAGTAAGCAAATGTTAGAGCTTTTCAATTTGCCTCAAAACTGCCAGGGGTGGTATTTGATTAAATAAACTCAATGGCTTAAGTACTTAAATTGGATTTGAGATGTGCATTATAAATGTCACTCGCAAAGCATTTTCCAGACTTTCATAGTTCAATTCATATGTCCATTCTCCAGCCTTTGGTTATGCCCTGAAGAGACTGTATTTTGACTGGGCAGGACAAATGTGCTTAATGTTGAACAAGCAAACCCTTTCCTTTGTCCGTGGCTTAATTGTTTCTGAAAATTGTCAATGCCACAGGCAACAATCATGTCGGGGAGCACAATGAGTTTAAATCATGAGGCTCCAGCACCTCGAAGTCAGCTGGGGCGACAGGCCAGCTTCCAGGAACGGAGCAGCTCTCGGCCACATTATAGCCAGACAACTCGGAGCAACACCTTGCCCTCAGATGTGGGCAGGAAGTCTGTGACCCTGAGGAAAATGAAACAAGAAATAAAGGAGGTCATGTCCCCAACTCCTGTGGAGCTGCACAAGGTCAGTGAGCTTCCTTCTCTTTCTCTAGGGTCACATTTAGAAGCCGTTCTGCAAAGTGTGACTGCCCTGATACAGGCAAGGTAATGGCATTCTCCCACAGGCTTAGCCAAGGAAAGCCAGCAGAGCTTAAAGGTAGCTCTTCAGAGACTTTGTTCTCAATACATGATCCATATGAGGTTATCCTGGAAGCAGGGAAAACTGGCTTTCAAGCAATGCATTTATCAAAATGTATTATGGACAAAATCTCACAAAAATTTGAGGCTCCAGTGTCACATGGAGCTTTGATGAATTAGTCTATTATTCCAACCTCATTGGCTGGGGGGAAGGATTTTCTAAATGTCATACGCTCACAGCATCACTGAAAAGGCAATTCAGATTACAGACTTATAGTAGATGTTTACATTATTCAGAAGACATGAAATTCTCTTCAAGACATAGGTTAGACGTCTTGGGCCAGGACAGGGTAAGCCCTGGTTTTGTTCCATCTCTGACTATGATAGTTGCCTCACTTTACTTCATGAAACAAAACTTGCTATTTGCATACACAGCTGAACTCTGGAGTTGCTGGCAGAGTTTAGACAAGGCATATGTAAGTGACAGTGTTTGCAGAACCCTGGGCCAAGGAGAGCAGTGATGGGAAGGTGTCTCTAGTTTTCTTTTCTAGAGCTAGTATTTTCTTTTTTGTTAACACATAAGGATGTATAAAATAGTAATAATCCCACCCCCTTTTTTATGAGAACCGAGACCTCCTCTGTAGTTAATCTATTCACTTGAGATTAGTTATTTGTCTTGCCCAGAAGAGCAAATAAATATCAGATGGAAAGGAGATAGCGGGCCAGCTATTCACTTTTTTCTCTAAAGGTTTTTATTTCCCTAATCACACTATGAAATCTAGCACTTTGTTTTGCAGCTGACAAAAGATACGGTGAAGGAGAGGACAGTGTGGGAAGTTAGGTTCTGAACTTTGTGTTTCAATCCCAGCTTCATTCTTTCACCACTCATTCATATATTCATTTAATACATGTACTGAGCATTCATTCACTCAAGGGATTTATTGCAAATCCCCAGGGAGCACCTGGTCTAGTGAAAGACAGTCTGGCAAGCAGCGGGAAGATAATGGGATAGGCACAATGATAGAGGAAAGCCTGTGCAGCCTTGGGGTACAGAGGGTGAACCCTAACCTACTATGTAGGGGACAGGAAAGGCTTCCTGGAAGCAGGTGTTGACTATGCAGAGGAAGGTAGAAGATGGGAAGGCATTCCAAGCACACACCAAAAAAACATGTGCAAAGGGATGTCAAAGGTTGTGGTGCATGGAGGGAATCCAAATATCCCAACCTGACCAGAGCCTAGAAATGGAGCCCTATACATTAGGAGTAATTACAGACTTGCAGAAAAGCAAAGATGTTTCTGACATTTTAGGATGAGGACCCAGGTTTAGCTCCAGCCACAAGTTAGCTTATTTACCCAGTTACCCTGAATTGATGAGTCTCCTTGGTAGTCAGATATCCTCCTTCACTAATGGTACACACCTTTAGGCTGTAAGAACACCTGTGCTGGTTAAATTGCAGAAGCTGCATCTTCAGTGCTAATTCTGCTATACCAAGAGGGTTGGCCCCTCCTGATTCCCTCAGGTGTGTAGCAACACTGCCTTCCCCACTTCTCTAAAACTCTACTGCTCAGGCAGAGAGAGCATGCTTAGTAAGCCACCCTCCTTCTTCCCCAAAGAGAAAGGATACCTGTCTCCCCATCCCTACTGCAGTGAAAACATTTGGCAGGGATAATGATGGTGAATTGGATGTGCAAGTTGTTACAGCTGAGGTTTAAAAAAAGTGGCTCTGCTAAAAAATAGAACTTGTTAAAAAGAAAAGGAAGAAAGGACCATGCACTTACCAGCATAATGAGTGGCAGTGGATGGGCTGGTTCAAACATTTGTGTGGCGGTGTGTGAAGTGGAAAGCCACAGGATCATAGACACAGGGGGGCCAGGTTGACCTAATAAATTGATGCTTTTTTTTTGCTTCACTTCAGTCCTTTCTCCTAAATGGTGGCAATAAGTGCATATCCCATGCAGCTTCACTTTTTCTCTGAATTGGTCCCCAACAAAATAAGACTCTCAAAAATAAGTGGTGTCCTGAATATCTTAAGCCCCCTAAAATGATCTAGCTAAATGAAGATGTAGCAGAGGAACCTGTGGCCTTTTACTATGGAATTCTTGGAGTGGTTTATACTCACATCACCAGAATCTTTTCTTTTTTTTTTTTTTTAAAGATGACCAGGTAAGGGGACCTTAACCGTTGACCTGGTGTTGTCAGCACCACACTCTCCCAAGTGAGCTAAACGGCCATCCCCATATAGGGATCCGGACCCGTGGCCTTGGTGTTATCAGCACCACACTCTCCCAAGTGAGCCACGGGAGGGCCCTAGATCTTTTCTTTTCTTTTTGTCTTTTTTCGTGACCGGTAAGGGGATCAACCCTTGGTGTGGTGTCGCCCACACCGCGCAAGCGCACCGGCCATTCCTATATAGGATCCGAACCCGCAGCGGGAGCATCGCTGCGCTCCCAGCGCCACACTTTCCCGAGTGTGCCACGGGCTCGGCCCCCCTAGATTTTTTCTAAGTGAATCCAGTTACTTTGATAGGCCATCCAAAATGTGTGTTGCTTAGCAAACCCTCCAGTTTTGAAGGAGAAATGGTCATTAGAAAAGCTACTTACTCAAAGATGGGTAATTGTGCTTGTGTCTTGCATGTGGTTATCTTTTGAACACTGAAACATTTCCTGACATCATGAAAAAGCACGGTGACTTGTGGATGAAATTGAGTTATCTTCCCACTGACTGGGGTGCTACTAGGCTGTACTAAGCCTTTGTGAAAATTAGGAAAAGGCACACTTTTAGGGTGGTGGCATGGAGAGGGGGCTAGACATCACTTCCTCAAGTTGAGGATACCCCAAGACAGAGTGCACAGGTTGGCAATCAGAACAAGGGCTGGTTTGCAGTCTACTAAGCCCTCTTGGCAACTTTCCCAAATGGACCTAGTGAAGGAATTCCCAGGGGGCTGAAAAGGCCAGAGTGGAGAGGCTGGGTGACATATGTACCACACTTTCTAAACGTGCTGGGTGCTCTTTTCCCGTTGCCGTATTTCCAGAGGCTTTTTGCCGCTTGGTTAGAGCTCTATCCATGAGAACAAGTGGTGGTTCTGTTCATGCCCAGGCCAGCACCTGCAACATCTTATTATTTTTACTGGAAGTTGAATCAAGATAATATGAATGAATGGGTAAGGAAGAAAGAAAAAGCAAAAACCACTCCATCTCCTCAGGATGGGTTACTAGCATTATCTTTATACAGAAAGAATAAAGTACTGGCTTATCTTGCAGTTTCTTGGCCTCCATAGTTTGCACCTCATTTTCTGCCCATTTCTTTCTCTTCCTTCAGACCTCCAGAAAGTCCCAAGCTAAATAGTTCCCTTTCCTTTCCCATCTGCTGTGTCTGCAGCTCTCCCAGGGTCTTGGCAGGCCTTCCTTCAGGTTGTTCACATTCATTCCTGAAGCTAAAAAGCTGATCATCATTCCAGACACTTGAGAACAAAGAAATGTAGCCTCACTTCTTTTTTTGCTGTGTGTAAGTGGGAGGAAGTCGGAGCTGGAGTGATTCGGGACTTAGTGCGGCAGTGAGGGGAACAGTGAGGGCGTCACAGGGAAGTATACTCATGTCCCTTGGACCACTGCTTCTCCACTTTCTCAGCTGAGACGCACAGTCTGAAGTATGTTGTACCTCATGATTCAGTATACACATATACCACGCTCATATATATAAATGAATCCAAAGTTACTGCACGATATACATTAACATTTAAAAATTTGTTTTCTATTTCTTTTAAAATGCTAATTGCATTAAGCTGATTTCAAGGCTCATCAATAGATCTCAACCAACAGTCTGAAGACTTAGACAATAGTTTGGGGTGGGAGCCCCTGATGACCTTTACTGTTGGGAGGCTTGTTAAAATGCAGGTTCCTAAGCCCCACTCAGACTTACCTTGTCAGCATTCTTGGAGAGTGTGGGCCAAGAATCTACATTGTGGCAACGCCTTTGTGGATTGTTTTGTGGACTAAAGATTGAGAATCACATCCTTAGGTGTTGCTAACTGGAGGTGATTATTCTGTTTCAGTGAAATCCTAGGCAACAGCCAGGTGGCAGGGTAAAGAGGGAAATGAGACTGCATCGTAGGCCCTGGGGCTTCTGCATTTTATCTTTAAACTGAATTCTGGTTTGCACTACAGCTTATCGCAAATTCCTTCTCTTTGCAGAGGAGACTGTGATTTTAGCTACAGCTCACTGATAACCCTTCTTTCCTTTCGGTAGCTTAAATATCCTTTGGTATCCACTTAATCTACTTCTGAGATGAATTCTAGCTTCACTTCTTTGCACAGCTCAAGGCAAAAAAAAAATTTTGTGGAGTGGAAAATTCCCCACATTGAAAGCATTTGGACATTTTTGCTTTTTAATTAATATTCATATTTCCTTTTGCCCTATCATTTGTGTTTGCCAATAAAATTATACTTATTAATTGTATGCAGCTGTTTTTATTTATCTTTTTACAAAAAGGTTCTTAAAACAATTTTCCAGCTGGTGGGTTAGCTCACTTCAGAGAGTGTGGTGCTGATAACACCAAGGTCAAGGGTTTGGTTCCCTGTACCAGCCAGCCATCCAGATAATAATAATAATAATTTTCCAGCATCTACTTTTATTTATGGCTGCTGGTGGCCCGACATTTGACAAGTAACCTCTTTATTTCTCACAGCTGCTTTTGCTACCATCAGCTTTTCCCCAGCCAAATTCACTTTGCATTTCCAATATATTTGAGTTTGAGAGGGGAGCTTCACTCTTCTTGATGGGATAAAATTGTTTTACTCCTTGGAAGGAAGGTCCCTTTCAGTGTTTAATGCCAGCTTCTTTTGCAATATTCTCCCTGAGTCAGGAATAGGCTCAGCCCTAGAGGGAAT